ATAATAAAGACATGTATATATTTTTAAATCTGAAACTAATAAAAACTAGAATGGAGTTTATATGCAAGGGAGTAAAGTAAACTTCTGAAAAAGGCAGCAACTATTTAGTTGTACAATAGATTCACCCAGAAATAATACTAATAACCCAGAAAAATTATGTAGACTATGTACAAAAAGAATACACCCACTGCAGATTTCACGCCTGATACATAGGAATGTTTTTTAGACACATCCCGATCCTCTCTAACACATGCAACTTACTACAAAAAAAGTTTTCATTTAAAAAACCCAAAAGATTTGTGATTTCCAAGTGTATGGAATAAAAAACTTCGGTAAGATGGCTTTATGAAAAACACACTTCGTACACAGTTCGTAAAAACAAAGGCAATCAGCAGGAACTACTCACTGATGTAATGCTCCAGACCCAAGCTGGTGAGCAGAGTCTGGATGTCCTTGTGCTGGGCGAGCTGCAGCCGTCGGTTGACCGGCGTGGCGTCCAGCAGTCCTGTGGTGGCACTCAGCCCATAGGGGGAACCCAGTCCTGGCGGTAGGCGCCAGCCACCACCACCACCCCCATTTCCTTCCCCGTTCTCCAGCGGGGCGGGGGCGGGGGCGGGCGAGGTGCTGCTCAGGCCCATGCCCATCCAGGCGGGCGTGGGTGTGCGCATCTCCCCCGCCACCGGAGTGCGCTCCATGGCCTTGTAGCCCAGGGCCCGTTTCATGTCGAAGTCGAAGGCGCGGTGGCCGCTGTTGTGCTTGTTCCCGCCGCCACCGAGGTCGTAGTGCAGGCTGCGGTAGCTCTCGGCGCTGCCGGGCAACAGATGGGCTCCGCCGCCCGAGGATGATCCTGCGCCACCGCTGGAATTTCCCAGTCCCAGGAGAACTCCATCGCTGAGGCGGCGACCCAGCCGCGCCCCAGCACCACCGCCTCCACCACCACCACCAGCACCACCGCCCTCACTGCCGTAGGTGGAGTCCGGCGAGTAGTGGGCCCGGTTTGGACATCCTGCCGTGGAGGAGGACGTGGAGGACACGGCGCTCGGCAGCTGAGCATACGGCGGATACGACTGCTCCAGGGAGGTGGTGCTGCTGCTGAAGCTTTGGTAGCCACTGGTATTTTGGCTGCAGCTGTTCCGCGGCGAAACGGTGGGCGGCTTGAGAGGCGCAACCGCTCCAGGAACCTGCAAATAGTTGTTGCTCTGGCTACTGCCACCACCCACCAGCGAACGACCTTGACTCTGCTGGAAGCTGTTGTGCAACTGCATGTACTTCTGGGTGGGCGCACATATGCCGGTGGGCGTGGCCAGGCCATTGGCGTTCAACAGCAAGTGATTGTTGTTGGCATAGGGCGTCAGCTGGCCGGTGAGAGCGGGCGGCAGCAGCGATGGGGTCTTCGGGCTGTCCACATAGCCGGCCAGCAGGGCGGTCAGCTGGGTGCGGTAGGCCAGGTTGAGGTCCTTGTCCTTGGGCATGAAGTAGTAGTCGGGCAGCTCGGGCTTCACGATCGGCGTGGCCAGGCGCAGGATCTCCTGGCGGGCCTCGTAGATTTTGTCTAGGATAGGGCGATTCCAAATTATTATAAGGCAACGAGACGGGAAGAATACATAACTAAAAAAATATTGCAGCTATAATAAGAATATGAAATAATAAAAAAAGTCATAATATATTCAATTTAATCCAAATTTACCAAATAACTTATTCAAAATATTGTAGTTGATCAAAAAGTTGATTACACACAATCTATTATGTGTTTTTTTTAAGAATTCCGATTATTCACGCTTCCGGTTATTAAGACCTAAACCTAGATCTTGAATTTTATATTTATCTGTCATATAAAGTGCTATACAATAAAGAAACTAAAACTTCAGAAATTACTTGTTATGATGAAAACAAACCTACCTGTTGAACTATTTAATATTATAACATCCTATTTATTTTTTGGATTGGTCTTATCCAAGCTTAGAAAAATACAAGGACATATTTATTTAAAGAATTTGAAGTCGTAAAAAAATCTGCATTTTTTGGACATCCTTTGCTTACCATAGAGAAATCGGAGTTCTTAATAATCGGAAGTGTGAATAATCGGAATTCTTAAAAGAAACACATAATTGGTTGTGCTTGATAAACTTTTTGATCAACTACAACATTTGGAAGCTAACTATTGTAGTGTTTCCTGCTCAAGATTTTAAAATCAATCAAAATAATTCTTCCAGGGGGTATCCAAACTCACCTATAAACTTCTCCACTCCCTTGACCACAATGGCCAGAGTGCTCTGCCGCTGCTTTTGGCGCAGGGTTATGTAGACGCCGTACTTGGTGTTCAGGCTCATTATCTCGGAGGCATCGTTCTGGTTGTCCGGAAAGTCAAAAATCAATGCTACGGGCAAATTGCCAAGCAATTGTTGTCGCGCCAAGTAGACGTCGTCGATGCGTCCGCTGATCGTGACCTGCGACTTCTTCAGCGGCTTCACGTTCATGTCGCTCAGATCGGGGAAGATGATCTTGGTCTGGGTGCGATCCATGATGCTGAGCAGGTTCACGTTGTTCTTGCCCTTGACGATCTCGTGGTGCTGCGGCGAGATCTCCATCTGGACATTCACCAGAATTTGGCTCTGAAAAGGCAGTAAAATCGGTGATGTGATCGGTATAATACGGGTGATTCTCCTGAACTTACCGCAATGCTCTCGCAGGCAAAATTAATAAGCAGCTGAGTGGCATCTCGGACTTGAGCCGATTCCTTCTCGGATCCTTTGACCAAAACCAACGAGGTGTGCAGCTTAGGACGCGTGGAGAAAATAACCTGGATGGGCCATAAACAAGAAGAGATATTAAATGCTTTCAACTTAGTTTGGAAAACTTATCATTGTAATATATGTTAAATTGAAAAACCATTTAGAAGATGATTTGGAAAAAAGGATGAATTCGATTTTCACTTAGAGAATTTTATGTTAATATAACATATAAACATTTAAAACTAATCTAAATATGTTAATACTACGATCTATAACTTATAAAAGAGGTATAAGTCCAAATCAACATAGAACTAACCTTAAACATCTATAAGAACAATTTGAAAAATTGTTTTTCTTAAAAAAGCCAGTTAAATTAGCAATCTCTCCAAAAAGCATTTACAATTCTAGATCCTTAGAATAACTACAGGATATGAAGTCAAAGAGATATCTTTATGACACACCAGATGAAAACGATTTCAGTTTTGACTCATTACGCTGTTTATTTTTCCCAACATAAGGAATTTGAAATCATATTCAATAAGTTCAGTTCCAGCCTCACTCACCTGCACATTGAACTTGGTCTCGATCATCTTGATGTAGGGTGTCTCGTGGTCGGGCTGCGGCTTGCTGGGTCCCATCACGGGCATCTCGAAGGAGATGAGCAGCGGGGTGGACAGCCGGACGAGGGCCCGGGCCCGCTCCACGCCCTCCAGACTGCCGCACAGCGACACCTGGTTGGACTTCTCCGTGGGATTGGAGCGGTTCGAATCGGGGAAGTGGATGTGGGTGTGGGTGTCGTCCATGATGCGCTTGATGTTGTTGCCACCTCGTCCGATGATGTACGAGTGGTCCGTGTAGCTGACGTCCATTTTCATAATCACCCGCGTGCCCTGCTCAAAATAAGGATGTAGTATTACATGGGATCAGACCATAAAAAAATAGTAGGACCCACCCTCGAGTCAAGGCTGCTGAGGATACGCTCCTTGGCCCGCTGCACTTGCTCCACCTTGCCCACAATTCGCACATGCGGATCTTTAATTAAAATATACATTAATCAAGTAATACTGCGATAAAGAAATATAAAACCTCACCCTTCTTGCTCTTGGCACCAATTTTGAGTCTGCAAGGCCAGCTCACATACGTATCCGTCGTGTTCATGATCTAGTAAAAAATATGTGTTGGATATATGGCTATATTTATATACCAAGTCAGCAGAGCTTTTGGGGGTCTAACAGTATCTTAAAACTAGTTGCGTTGCACACTTAAATTTTAGTGGTGGATTGCCAAACAAAGACATGGATCATTTAACTTAAAAATTTTGCTCAAAGAGTAAATAACTTAAGACCCTAGTGAATCGAAAACATATTATTTTCTGTTTAAAATGTATAAGGCATGGCAATCTAAGTCTTAGAATAGATGATAGAAAGAGGATTTAAGGAATTAATAAGGTATTGAGCAGATATAAAATATTAAAAAAAACCTAGTGAGTTTAATCCTTGTTCTCAAGTGTATTGAATGGTAAATCATTATTATTTACTTTAAATAGATAATATTTTTTTGTTTAAATTGTTTTAACTCAATGTACCTATAAAATGTAGTATCTCTTTCAAATTATTTAAAGTGATTAATAGTCATCATAATTATTATAAATGATAAGTGATAAGTAAGGATGTTTGCTTAAAATTATAACGAACTACTTACGTCATGAAAGAAATACTCGGCTCCATTCATTCCCTCGATGGAGCTGTCCGCTGTAAGTTATATAATGAGTTATAGGTTCAAAAATATACATATAGGACCAGCTTTACCCTTTATCAACTGCTCCAGTTTCTGGCGATCGACCTTGAATCGCTCGGTGTGCAGATCGTCTGGGTTTTGAACGCCCAACTTCATGGCGATGGCGCGTATGTCACTCCAATCGCTGTCCACCGAGGAGATCTCGCTCTGGGTCTCGCTGGGGGCTCCACTGCCCGCCGATGTGGTCGAAGGCAGGGCCTGGAGACTGGCCAGCGATCCCATGGATCCGCTATCCACCTCCAAGCCCACCATCGGCGACTTGGCCACATCTGCGGCCGTTGGATACATAAGTTTGTTGAATGAGGCACAGGACAGCATCGTGGGAGGTGAATGAATGGATCAGTGGGTCGACTTTCGGACCGAGGGATATGAATGTGTGAAACGTCAACAGGTGCGGCTACCAAAGGGTCGTTTAGTTTTAAAAACCAAGCAAAACGTCCGTCTCAGTTAGGGATTCTGGATGTCGAGGCGTTTATTGGTCAGCGTTGTGAGATGCTTGCGGTGTGTTAATGAAGGTGGTAGTTTATCTGGGTGATGGATGGGATGAGCTGGCGATGAAATGTAAAAAGTCCGAGGATAATAATATTAAAAATAGATGATGGGAACAGTTGTGGTGAAAGTTAAGCTTAATATAAGCAGAAAATTTTTGCATTGAAAATATTTAAAATGAACATGTAATGTACTGTTTATTTACCGATTATTATTATAGCTTCATGAGTAGAGTGGTACTTTGAAGTCTATAATTTTTGACCTTCACTTTTTTTTAAAAATATTTTTTTGATTTGATTTTTTATTGCCTACACTTAAAATCTTTTTTTATTTAACAGTTATTTCTTGTAGTTTGCCTACCAGTAGAAAAATAAACACAAAGTATTCATATTTTTCTTTAAAAATTTATGTTTATATACCAAATTACAAAAAAAAATACCAAATTATAAAAAACTGCTGAAGTCAATTTTGATGTATTACTTTTTAAAATATAATCTGTTTAAAATTGAAACACAAATTTATATTTCTCCTGTTAAGGGCATTTGTAAGTCTAGAACCCTCTAAAAACGTAACTTGCTAAAGTTTTGACTTCGAACTAAGTGTGGTAACTTGCTGTTTAATTGTTTATTGATGTACTTATGAAAAACAAAAGCTAATAATTTCCTTGCTAACATTTTTAAACTTCCTTTCTCTTCCTTTCCTTTGACATAACCTCTCAAAATGGAGGGCTGCTGCCATGAGGTTTTCACTTTCCCCTTTCTCCCGAAAACCCGATAACCGTAATTTCTCCCGCACTTTCACTTTTCGCGGCCCGCGGACCAATGGCGTGACTTACCGCTGGGAGATCGCTCGGGAATCTCTACTTGAGGTTGAACAGGCCCTGGAGGTCCAGGCAGAGGGCATGCGTGAGGTCCTGCACGAATTGGATGGCCTCGACGAGGCAGACGTTCATAACAAAATTACGTATTTGTTGGAATCTCTGGACGAAAGGCATTTAAAGGGTGATCTGCGCAATATATATAGATCTATATATCAGTATATAGCTGTGTGTGATTGCGAGGGGTCTGTCTGGGGGATTTCGTCAGAGTATCAAGTTACGGGATAATCTCTCCGATTCCTGGGGGCTCTACCACTTCTAAGTACGGCTCGAAGGCAACTGAACGCGGCTCTCGATTTCGCCGATCGACTTTGCCTGCTGTTGGACTAGAATTATTTCTAACTGTAGAACGGATGAATTCTGCAAATCGCTGGGAAGGAGAAGATATGGCGAATATTGTTGTTGCTGGGTCAATGAACCGCTCCCGTTCCAAAATAAGAGATTCTACATTTCAAAGAGAGAGCGCCAACCAAAACAAAGTCGGAGAGGTGTTCCAGAATTTCTAACATGTTCCCTTACAAGTTCCCCTAACAGTGGTTCGATTCGAATGTTGCCATGTTAAGTTGAAAATGTTGCCAACCGTTTTCATTCATTTTGGCGCCAGAAAAATCGGGAGAGAAATACGACGCAAAAGAAACCGATTTTATTCCCGCCAAAAATCACACCACTTACCGCAATATCGGAATTTCGTATCGTAGCACAAACACATAGATATATCTCAGGTTAATTTACTTAAACACAATCAGTTGTAAAATCTTTTTGACAAATAACACGCTCGTTTCACGTAAAAAAAATGATATATTCGCTTGCTAATTAATTTTGTGCGCAATTAATTTTCCGTCAATTGGTCAAATTAAGGTTCGAATGGGAATTCGGCTGGCAGTCGATGTACTTTTTTCAATGTAACCCAAAAAAAATAACCACTACCGAAGTGCGAGTAACAGAAGAACACCACGTGTGTGGAAAACACAAAGGAAAAAATTATATGGAAATCTAAGGAAAAGCGAAACTGAATTGTTGTCAAAAAATCGTGCACCGCGCGTTCAATGTTAATATTATTTTTTATTTAATTATTTTTTTTAAGTTTATTTTTGGAAAAATATATATTATTAATGGGGGCGCGCCGTGCAGTTGTCGTCGTTTAAGCGCGCTGACTATTAAACTAAGCTCGACTTGTGGGTCCAAGTCCCAACTGACCTTCAGATCCGAAAGCTCTGGGTTCTGTGGGAAGTGCATTTATCTACTATCTCTCCAGTGCATAAACAACCTTAGAAAGCTCCCATTCAGTTAAAATCCTACGTCAGCTTTTATCTTCGGCCCTTTACCTAAGTAAAGTAAAGCTTTTGAAATTGAGTAAGCTCCCCAGATGGCGCTCCAGAAAAATTTTGATACAGTGAGCGTCAAAAGTGTACTACTTAAACTAATTTTCTTAGGAAGGAATTTTTAAAATAGGCATACATTTTTAGTTACAATTTCAAAAATAATTTATGTTTAAAAATATAAACTAAATAATTTTCTACAAAGGTTACTAGCCTTAATTAGAGGTTTACGCCGATGGTTTCAGCAGCGGCGGCGGCGTAGAGTTCTAAATTACCCAGCGGCGGCGGCGTAGCCGTTAGAAAGAACCGGCGGCGGCGGCGGGTACGCCGCCGGTGAAATTGTCGGCGGCTGGCGGCGTAAGCATTTAATAAACTGATTTTTTTTTTCCTTTTATTAATAAGTGAGTCAAGCGAAATAACAAATTAAACTAAAACTAAATAAGAGTCTTTTCTTGACTTGATAATTAATAAGTAAGTTAATCGAAATAACAAATTAAACTGAAATTATTGACTTCATAATTAATAAGTAAGTAAAGCGAAATAACAACTTAAACTAAAATTAAAACAAAATAACAGTCTTTTCTTGATTTGACAGTTTTGAGATTCATTGTAAGACACCAAAAAACTCCCACACTTTACTTTTACGACTTGCGTTGCGCTGTAGTTCAATTGAATACATGTTCAATGCCTTATCCATCTGTTTGTTGGGAAATTTAATTCTTATACATAATTCTTAATCCAATTATAACACTGTAAAACTTACTTCGTGAAATTAATTACGCACTCAGCTGTTAAATGTTTTAGAGATGGGACACATGTAAGGAGATGGGAGATGAGACATTTAATCGATAACTGAAAGCGATTATTGTCGAAAATTTTTTTAGGATATATTAATAATAACCTTTTTTATTTATAAAATGAATAAAAATTTGTATGACGCTGAACGCCGCCGCCGCCGCCGCCGCGCCGGTTTTTACGTGACTCGGCGGCGGCGGCGGCGTGGCTCGGCGGCGTATATGTCTAGCCTTAATGTCCTTCTTTTCTGATCAGAAGTAGTCATAGCAATTTTTATTTCATCTATTAAAATATTTTTAAAATAATAGCGCTGAAAAATTTGCAAGTGAAGAAAATCAAAAACAAAAAGGATTTTTTCTTAGTCAAAAAGAATATTTTTTATAATGACAATTCAAATGCTAAGAGGAAATTGAACTTTAAAATGTTATTGTTATCTTTTATAATAAGAAGTGTTCATACCAATTTCCATTTCTTCTTCTAACACATTTTTAAAATAACTGCGGTAATAGAAAAGAAAGCTTTTTCAGTCAAAAATAATATTTCTAATAATGATAATTCAAATACCAAGAAGAACTTGAACTTTAAAATGTTATTCAAAATATTTACCCTAACAGCTAGTGATATCCTCATTAAAACAAGTTTTAATTTTTTTATTGATTAGAGGGTTACTTTATTTCCTTGCTGAGTGTTTTTACATCACTATTTTGTTTTCTTAGAGCTTATTATTACATTTATTCTGGCTTTACACATGTTCGATTATTTATTGGGGATATGAATATATTATATTTAATGCAAAATGCATTCGCTTGTGTTTTTGATTCTCATTATAAATCTATGACTTATCGTTGTCCCTAGCAGCTAGAAACATGTAGGGTTCCTTATTCTAATTTCATATCTCTTGGTTAATATTTGTAATATTATTCAGTAACATCAAAATGGGTTTTGTCTCTTTTCTATATACATAAAACTAATTTTTTACATTCTTATTTATCTCTTAATAATTAACGGCTATAATTGAAACCATAGTGAAATTAAAATTAAAATGAAAACTCCCTTCCAATGTTTCATAATGTAATGGGCATAAATTAGGGAAGACAACTTTCACAACACGATTTGATTACAGAAATCTTGGCGCATGCATTTATTACTATAGGTTTTTCAACATTTACACCAATTTATTTTCCTTTGTTTATTTACATATTCTATGAAATATTTATTTAATTTATATAGATTAATAAATCATTCAACATTTGTTATGTTTGTGTCCAAAACGCATTTTCTTAATTTTTTTCATTTACATTTTTTGTTTTCTTTTTCGGTTAAGATTACCCATTGCATTACATTGATTTATTTTTAAGGTAAAGGAACTATTTACCGCTGGATTTTTGTTGGCCAAAAATTGTTAAATAATTGTTTGTTTTTTTGAAGTTTTTATTTTGCCGAAATAAGAGTGGAACTTAAATGTTCACTTTCGTTTTTGCTTGATCTATGTATTCTGATTTTTCTACAAATAAATGATTGCTATAATAATTAATTTTGCTTTTGATTTCCACAACCGTAAAAAGTTCCTTTCTGTACATTGGATGTTATTTAATATGAAATTTTATTTTTGTTTTGATTTTATTATATTTACACATTGTCTTTATGCCAAGGAGAAGACATATCATTATTGATTTCTTTTGCTTTAGCTTGAGTTGTTTACAATGTTTAAGCTTTGAAAGACCCACTTTAAAATGCACTACGGTACCCGAAAGCTAAGCTCAAGTGCAGTCTAAAGTTCAGCTTGCTGTACACTGTTCACATTTTTTATATACCTTTTTGATTCTTTTTTTGTGAATATGTTTAATGCTAAATTCAACATAGGGAGTAAAACGAACATGGCAAGCATTTTGAGTACTTTTCGCATTCCAGTGACTAAGCACATGTATTTTTTCACCCTGTACGCCATCCAAACATTAACTGTGCATTTTGGGTATTTCTTTCAGCAATTATTGAGGTTCCTCTCATTGAAAGGTTTGCCCTTAGTACTTGGTTTATTATGATCTTGTATTAACAGTAAAAGTTCGCTCAGAAATAACGATGAGAAAAATGTACCATTCAATTAAACCCAAAGTAGGGTTTATTATTGTCAGTAAATTTGTGTTGTCTAAATTATTGCGGAGGTGGAAATAAAAAAATGGGATTATTTATATTTAATAATAAGTGCCTCGCCTTTTTTTATAACATTTTAAAATGCAAAGAATGTTTAAAGAGCGTGAATAAAAATGTGCAATTAAGAAAATAAAAAAAGGAGTGTGATTGCAACGTACAGGGTATCCGCTATTACATTGGTTTCACCATATGTTTTATTTTTCCCCGACTTAAGATTAAGTTATTTCCTGTTTTTATTCATCGACTTCATAGCTACTTGCTGGCTTTACCCTCAATAATTAAATACGCCGCATTTCTGTACTTTCCCTGACCTTATGCGTACAACACTTAAGAGCTACGACCAGATCGATTTATGCAGCTGGCTCATGCAATCAATACGAGTTCGCATGTATATTAATTATGCCCTTCAACAATTCGCAGGGGAAGAGGAAAAGGGTCCGTTTTTCTTCCATTTCAGCACGGTGGCACGGAGCACCTTAAGCTACTTTCGGAAATGGATTTCATCATCAATTCGGCATCAGCACGCGCTGCAACGCGACTGCATCATCGCATCCATCGCCTGCGATTTCTTTTGGCACTTTTGCCGCTTTTGCCGCCGCCGAGTCATCAATAATCGTTGATCCGGCCAACTGGCCACGCCCCTTACACCCTCGCCGCCCCCCACAAGTGTCGCTGACAGCCGCTTAATGCTGCAACTCGCACTCGCAGTCGCACCCGCAGCAACTCCTCCAGCAACAGCAGCAACATCTGCAACAGCAGCAGTTGCTGTTGCTGTTGCAGTTGTGCTGCCAATATTCGCATCACCATCATCATCACCATCGCGACTCTGAGTTGGCATCGCCGTAGCCATTTGACAATTATAAAAGCATTTGACGCTGGATGCGGATGCGGATGTTGCCGCTTTTGAAGCCGTCACATCGATGTTGCTGCTGTGATGTTGCTGCTGCTGTTGCTTTTGCTGTTGCACCTTGCCAGTCGCCGGCTTTGTGTATTGACAGTTGATAATTTGATGGGTTAGCGGCCCTAGGAGCAGCGGCAACATCAGAAGGGCTGCCGCTCCACCGCCCCCGCAGATCCAGTGCCACGCCCCCGCCAACTGCCTGTTGATGGGCGGCTTTGCTAGCTTCAATGGCCAGAATTGCCAAAAGATTTCCTGCGCAGCTGTCGAAGCTCCCGATGCCGCGTTATCCGCTGGAAATGGAAAGATTAGATAGGTGAGTTTGGGTGGGTGCAAAAGGCACAATGCCATTAAATGTTGCCCATGCTTTTCGCCAATGATGCCAATGTGAGAACTAAAGTAATAATTGATATTTGAGATTTTTACCTTATTTTTAATATTTTATAGTAACTAAAATTGAATTAGTTTATTGATTTAATATGAAGGATTTGACTTCCTTCCTTATGATGCGATTTACTTTTAAAGACACCAATTTTAATTTGTTGAGAAACTAAATGATAATTTTTGGTATGTTTTCCTAAACTTGTCAGCTACATATGTATACATTTATTCTTTGACTGAGTCAAAAAGTATTTAGGTATAATTTAGTTTCCATCTAACGCTTCTCAATTCTATTATAGAAATTTCAACGAATTATGGAACGTCGCCGAAGGAATCCAGTTCCTCAACAAAAAACAAACTAGATATTCAACCAGACTGCTTTTCCTATGTGAGTGGGTGTGTCAACAGTGCACTTGCATAAAGTTCAGAGCGGAATGCAAGCAAGGAATCGGAATATGCAATCTCCTCATTCCTTCAACTTAATAACGAGGGTGGGTTGCAAACTTCCGTTTTGAGGGTTTCCCCTGGGCGCTGTGGCCGAAATATTGTTGCATACGTTGATATTTCGCTGGTTTCACATAACCGTTCCCCAGCTGGTTTCATCGGTAGTAAG